ACTGTTGAAAATAAGGACAGAGGGACATCAGATATAAATACTGTTAGTATTAAATCACACTGATAGCAGTTAGAAAATTTTATATAAGTGAAAATAAGTTGAAATATGAAAGAAAACTTTCAAAATAAGAATTACTCCTAAACACACATAAAAAGGGAAACCCACTATAAAAGCGCTTGCGACCTAACTCGCTTCATGATGATGTATTTAGTTATTACAACTGATAAATCTTCACTTATCAATCAGAGAAAGTGCTCTACTTATCAATATCAATAAAAATATATTTTAACTGTTGAATGACGTATTCTTCAATTATTTAGTCTTCGAATTTATATCTTTAATTTTCACCAATTGTCTAAATTTGATTTATTGAACCTTTTTGTCTGCTTACGCCTTACCTAACTAAAGATGGTTGAGATATGTTTAGCCGTTTTTACATAAAACATTTTAAAAAATGAAAAACATCTAGCTTGTAAGTTATTTCTTCAAAGACATATATAGCATCATTTTGAAGCAAACTTATTTGTCCAAGGCATAAATGAATGATTGTACTGAAATGAATGAATATATAAAGCCCATTGTTAGAAAGCTGGACAAACTTGTGTTTGCTGGTGTTAATTTGTTTATAAAAAACACAGCTGATATGATGCCATATAATTTCATTACTAATGGTGATTAAACTGCAATAAGCTACGGTTCGGTACCAATTTCGTCGTCAGCTCTGTTGCATAAGGACAAATGAAAATATTAAATTTCTTGGTAACAAGGATGTCATATAACCTCCTAGATGGTATTTCAGATATATGAACATCAAAACTCATGAGATACGTTTTATGACTGTTTGTTAAAAAATGTCATTCAAGATCAATTAACAAAAATTATAGATTTTTTCCCTAATTTTTCAAAATAATTTCCCCTTCGTACATTGATTTATAATCTCGACGAGGTTTTGATCTCAATACCATAGTCCTTTTAAAGACCACTAACTCAAGTGTCGTAATTTATAACTCCCGTGAAGACGCTAATTAATTTTTATCAGAGACACGTCTCTGTTGTATTTAACAAGATTAGTAAATGCAACGACATCTATTGGAAGGAGTTAAGAGTTATCGTTAATTATCTACTGTCCAATATAAACAGATTGGGTTATCTCGCTTGGAAATGTGACATATTCTTGCACATGAGTAAGCCGTAACACCTGAATGTGCTTTGTTGTGACAGCGGCATAACAAAATACAAGCTAGAGATACAAAAATACCTAATTAAAAATTACAATAGTGTGCTCTATCCAACAAATGTACTAAATATTCCATATTCACAGAAACAGCAGAATTATTTAGCAAAGTTGAGGCCCCAGAGGCAAAAAACGGGGAAAAAAATCCCTAACCCCTGGGTCATAAAACAGATAATTTAACCTGTAAAAGAGAGGCAAAAAATACCAATGGGACATTCAAACTCATAAGTCGAAAATAAACTGACAACGCCATGGCTAAAAAAGAAAAAAAGACCAACAGACAAACAACAGTACACAAAACACAACATAGAAAACTAAAGACTGAGCAACACGAACTCAACCGCAAACTGGGTGTGATCTCAGGTGCTCCGGAAAGGTAAGCAGATCCTGCTCCACATGTGGCACCCGTCGTGTTGCTCATGTAAGTACAAACTCGGTAACAAGTCTAATTCGGTAGATCACATTCGGGGAAAATGGGACGAGGAATGTAGTTACGACATTTGGAACATATCCGTCGCCATCTGTGAAACGGATATTCCATGAATTCTGAGGAGACCAAAAGTGAAGGGAGGGATAGTACAGAATTTTAGTATAAGTTTAAAGTCTTAGAAGTTCGGGTCATATTTATAAATGTTGAAAATATGCCGAACAGCCCTATATTTTGACCTTTGAAATAAATAGTAGCGCATATGAGCTTTCCATTCTAGGACATAATTTATTACGAAACTTCATAGTTAAAGCGGTACAGTTTTAACCGTAAAAGGAGTTCCTATGGGAAATTGCATTGTCTATATTTACAAAAGTGCAACCTCGAGCACGAATGTCCTCTAGCCGTTGCATCAACCAAGCGGTTGTAGAAACTTAAAAGATATCAGGCTTATAATTTTGTACACCAGACAACGTTTTGTCTAAATAAAACTCGCTCGAATGTCAAATTAAATACGAATTTGCTTACTACTGGACTGGCGACAGCCTCGGGGACTAAACTTCCACTAGCATTGGTATTGAACAAGTGAAATCTACAACTGATAATAAGAGGAAACGGCTCTGTACGAAGAAAAAGAAGGCATCGATTTTTCTGTTATGACATAATATCAACACCTTCATATGAAGGATATATCTCCCATTTGTTACGATATCTATAATTCCTATCGGGATTTCCTTGATAAAGTGTAGCCACTACATGGAAGCTACGAAACAGTCTAACGTAAAAGTCATACTCTATAAAGTGTAGCCACTACATGGAAGCTACGAAATAGTCAAATGTAGAAGTCATACTCTATAAAGTGTAGCCACTACATGGAAGCTACGAAATAGTCAAATGTAGAAGTCATACTCTATAAAGTGTAGCCACTACATGGAAGCTACGAAACAGTCAAACGTCAAAGTCATACTATATAAAGTGTAGCCACTACATGGAAGCTACGAAACAGTCAAACGTAAAAGTCATACTCTATAAAGTGTAGCCACTACATGGAAGCTACGAAACAGTCTAACGTAAAATTCATACTCTATAAAGTGTAGCCACTACATGGAAGCTACGAAACAGTCTAACGTAAAATTCATACTCTATAAAGTGTAACCACTACATGGAAGCTACGAAACAGTCTAACGTAAAAGTCATACACTATAAAGTGTAGCCACTACATGGAAGCTACGAAATAGTCAAATGTAGAAGTCATACTCTATAAAGTGTAGCCACTACATGGAAGCTACGAAACAGTCAAACGTCAAAGTCATACTATATAAAGTGTAGCCACTACATGGAAGCTACGAAACAGTCAAACGTAAAAGTCATACTCTATTAAGTGTAGCCACTACATGGAAGCTACGAAACAGTCTAACGTAAAAGTCATACTCTATAAAGTGAAGCCACTACATGGAAGCTACGAAACAGTCTAACCTACAATTCATACTCTATAAAGTGTAGCCACTACATGGAAGCTACGAAACAGTCTAACGTAAAAGTCATACTCTATAAAGTGTAGCCACAACATGGAAGCTACGAAACAGTCAAACGTAAAATTCATACTCTATAAAGTGTAGCCACTCCATGGAAGCTACGAAACAGTCAAATGTAAAAGTCATACTTTATAAAGTGTAGCCACTACGTGGAAGCTACGAAATAGTCAAAGGTAAAAGTCATACTCTATAAAGTGCAGCAACTACGTGGAAGCTACGAAACAGTCGAACGTAAAAGTCATACACTATAAAGTGTAGCCACTACATGAAAGCTACGAAACAGTCTAACGTAAAAGTCATATTCTATAAAGTGTAGCCACTACATGGACACTACGAAACAGTCAAACGTAAAAGTCATACTCTATAAAGTGTAGCCACTTCATGGAAGCTACGAAACAGTCTAACGTAAAAGTCATACTCTATAAAGTGTAGCCACTACATGGAAGCTACGAAACAGTCAAAAGTAAACGTTATACTCTATAAAGTGTAGCCACTACATGGAAGCTACGAAACAGTCTAAAGTAAAATTCATACTCTATAAAGTGTAGCAACTACATGGAAGCTACGAATCAGTCAAACGTAAAAGTCATATTCTATAAAGTGTAGCCACTACATGGAAGCTACGAAACAGTCTAACGTTAAAGTCATACTCTATAAAGTGTAGCCACTACATGGAAGCTACGAAACAGTCTAACGTAAAAGTCATACTCTATAAAGTGTAGCCACTACATGGAAGCTACGAAACAGTCTAACGTAAATTTCATACTCTATAAAGTGTAGCCACTACATGGAAGCTACGAAACAGTCTAACGTAAAAGTCATACTCTATAAAGTGTAGCCACTACATGGAAGCTACGAAAAAGTCTAACATAAAAGTCATACTCTATAAAGTGTAGCCACTACATGGAAGCTACGAAACAGTCAAACGTAAAAGTCATACTCTATAAAGTGTAGCTACTACATGGAAGCTACGAAATACTCTAACGTAAAAGTCATACTTCCTAAAGTTTTATTGATGTGATCATGATTTTGATGCATTTACATACAAATAGGAGGTTTGGCTAGCTATAAACCCAGGTTTAACCCATCATTTTGATGCATTTACATATAAGCAGGAGGTTTAGCTAGCTATAAAACCAGGTTTAACCCATCATTTTGATGCATTTACATACAAGCAAGAGGTTTAGCTAGCTATAAAACCAGGTTTTACACATCATTTTGATGCATTTACAAAACGTTACTTAGTATTGTATCTGTGTATATATTTTCTTGGACATTATAATCTAAAGAAACTTCTTTGATTTGATTTGAACTGAATGATATCGACATTAACCTAAAAACTGTTGCAAAAGATTATCACAATAAACAATAAACAAATCAGTTTTATCATTAATGAATAAGATAAAGTACCCAAATGAACAGAACTGTTCGTGTTTGAGGACCCCCACCCCCCTTCCACCCACACACACACCCCTGTATTAATATCTTCGACACATGCACAGTTCTGTTCGTGTCATTAAACTAAAGTGTACAAACTTGCTTTACAAATTGATCAAATGTCTGTATGCCAAAACATTTTATAAAAGAAAAACCGAACCGATATCACAATTGTTGTCTAAGTAAATGGATGACTCATTACCGGACAACAACATAGTTAACTGCTGACTGATAAGATCCTGGATCAGTACATCCATCGTATGTGCCTCCCAACTAGTCAGTCCTATGTAGTATCATTTAATACAGGAAAAGTGTTATATTTAAAATAAGTTTGTTTTTGTGTGAAATAAAGTTAAAAGTCGGTTAATACTCTTCAATTGTATCATTTATATAAAAATATTTATGAACAACAAACTTACAAATCATGTGATCAACTAACGTCATCTAAAAGCAAAAAAATATGATGGAATGATTACGATAGCAATGAAGCGTACTTAAGTCTTTGTTTAACAAAGATGGAACTTTTTTTGACATGATTAAGGTACTTTAACTGCATACATGGGAAACTATTTTGCAACAGGGAAAATATACTGCTCTCGTGAGTCTGCAAATCATTGCCAGAATACATTTTTCCATTCTAGTGCTTGAAGTCTTTAATAAAGCGGTATTTCTATTTTTACATCAATATCCATATGTATCTTAACATAAAATTTAAATAAATTATGATCAGAACTGTTAGTCTGTGACCTATTTGATTAGTCGGGTGATCTGTCTAACATTTCCTCAACTGACAGTTCTGCAGGATTTTTCGTTCTTAGATAGGTGCACTTTTGTATTCCTTCGAGAATCTCGGCATTTTTCCGTTCTGTCATTTGTTTGTGTTCTTCCTCCTTTATATATTTTATAATATGACGCTCCTCTGTAGACGTTAGTGGTATTCTTGACAACTGTTTAATGGTTTTGGGTATCCTTTGGTTTAGCTCGCGTTTTAAACGTCTCATCTGACATTCGTATTTTTCCATTTCCGGTGAACTATCACGTGATCTTATACTGTCACGTGATCTTCTAACATCATTATGGCTCCCTTTTAAGCTGGAATCACTCCCCTTGTTCACCCCAGGACTGTTTGAGCTAGAACCATGTAATCCTATGAAAGGTTCATGGGAGTGGAATATATTTGCCGGAAGAGACATCCGTCTCGTTTTAGCATAAGATGGAACCAATGGACTTGTAATATATTGCGCAACAGGAGATTCGATTTTGTGTATTTTTGAAATACTTTCTCTTCTTTCATGTAAATTAGGTTTTTTCGGACCACAAACGTTGGTTTTGGATTCACTGATGCTAAAACTGCTAGCTCGTCTTCTAGCATCACCCATAGTGTTAGTTTCTGACCTTTTCTTAAAGTACGAAATATCGAAGTCCAGGTCCGGTTCTTCTTGCCTTTCCTGATCTTTTTTAACTTCTTTTACCTCGTGTTCAAGCAAACATAGGCTTCCTTCAAGTCTTGCGTGAATATTTTCAAGTTCAGTTGACAACTTTCTTTGGCGCATTTGATTTCTTTTGATGGCATATCTGCTGTCCATAACTATATTTATCTAGAAATAATACATAATTATTATCATTCTCATAAAATGATTTGTTGTTCAAACATATGAAAATTCAGCATAACAACAAAATTGAATAAAAAAATAGACATGTATACAAAAGCAATACGAAGTTGCAGAGTTCAATTCATAAAAGATGTCCCAACACATTTAAATTACATTTTATCAAATACGGTGAAGAAAATCTATAACTAGCGCTAGAAAAACCTTAATGTTTCTAATAACTCAACATTTTATATACCGTAAACTTACAGCAAAATGAACATATGAATGCTTTTCCGTGTCAACACAAAAGTGAACAAGCGCTCACGAATTCATTGACATTACTGTTTAACGTCCAATGTCAACATGCATGCATAATCAGGGTGATAATATGTTAATATTATATCAATATGAACCCTTGCTTTGTATCATACCGACACAATAAGCATTGATTTATATGTGTTTGTATACAAGGTAACCGTCAACATGAGGTCATATCACCCTACCCGGAAACATGTTTCTGACTCCGCATCGACCAATCTTTGTTCATACTCATAGATGCCACGTGTTCAGAAGAGAAGAGGCAAATATAAATTGAAGTCTTTGGTTTGACCCGGCAGGGGATAGGACCCGAGATCTCACACATTTGAGGCGAGCACACTATGACGAGACTATACATTAAAGGTTGAGAGGTTGAAAGGACAAAAATTATGACACCAATTAAAATGCTCTTTTCCTTGCGTTTGAAATTTGAAATTTTAACCGCCTCGAGTGGAGAAACATCGTATCACACTCGATACAATTTTGGAATCTATATACATATTGTTAAAGGCTATACGGTAGCCTATAGTTAAAACTACGTCAATTAATCTCTGATGAATAGTTGTCTAATTGGCAATCATACCACATCTTTTTACCTTTTATGTATGTTTATATTCAGGAAGGTCACATGTTAATATCATGTGAAAATATATAGCTTTGTACTAACTTTCATCAGGTTAGTCTACAGAAGACTCAATCAGTCTTTGTTTTTTCCATAACTTCCTTCTAAAGGCAGAAAAAGAATTAAGTTTCTGTTTTTTTTCCAACGGGAAAAATAGCAAATACCAAATTTAACGACCTCCAGTTGTCGAGGCGAACACAATACAATCCGGTCACCGAAGCAATCTATCCATATTGAAGAATACAAAACAGACTGAAAAAATTTCAAGAGAATTCAAGAAACAGCTGATGTATTTCAAACCTGGTTGTTTACTTCCTCCAAATGTTTGTTTGTTACAATGTTTGTTTGTGTTTCTTGTGTGTTTTTATTGCTTTGTTTTGGTTTTTTTTTTGGGGGTGGGTGGTGGATGGTGGGGGTGGTAAAAATCACTATATATACAAAGTTTGATTTCACCGTACGTCATTTTCAAGAGAACGAGATATCAGCTTTTTATGATTTCAAGCTTTCAATTAGAGAACCTCAATCCATTTATATTTAAATAAAACATAAGTAAATAACAGAAATATATTTTCGGACCCATTCCCCAGGGGTTACTTGGGAATAGAAATACGATCACTTTGGTCTTCTTTTGCAATAAAACCGTTGCGAATAGTGGGGCGTCCGTTTGGTTGTGCGGGATTTATAAATACGCAGACACGTCCCTTCAGATTTGGGAGGTTAAATGATCAAGATGTCTCGTGTAGAGAGATTATGACACGCTCTCTGGACGTTAAGAACCCTTTTAACAATTATTTAAGGGGTCCGTATGTGACCTGTTGCAAGGCAAAATATTTGTCCTTATCCAATATACCCTCATTTTTCAGTGGCAGTCCAAATTTCTCCGACCTTCATCCCGGACGGTTTCTTTTACAGGACCTACATTTTGTTTTTATTGTTAATTTGTGCTCGTCCTGAACATGCATGAAATATTTGCCTACGGAAGTTAAGCAACCAACAATAAATTGATCGCTCTTGTCGAAACATTTTGTTTGGGATGACCCATATTTTTCATTATACACATTCTAAATTTAGCAGTATTTGATGTGTGACCGATGAGCATTGTCTCAACCGGGACTCGAACCAGGGACCTCTGTGTTAAAAGTCAGCGCTCTAACCGACTGAGCTAAAGGAGTACTATCCTAGCTCAATCGCTTACGACTGGCTAAGTATCTACTATGCAAGAGGAGCAATCCCATCACGGTTGTTTAATATTTGTCAGATTTGGCAAAAAAAATGTAATAAACTTGCACACTTAATTCTTCCCACAACTTGACATCGTCAGCTATACAAAAAAAAAACAGCGATAAAAATAACTTGCTTAATATTTTCTATCCTGGATTCTTTGCTTTATATGGTTGCACGATAATCAAATTAAATTGGATTAATTAGTTTTAACATCAGCTTAGATTATTCGCCTATTTGATCTAGAACAATGAACATTAGATTCATTAAATCGATATTACAGTTTATGAAAGAATGAATAGTAAATATCCAAATCATGTTAATATCTTTTAATACAGAATGAAAAATATACTTTACTTTGAATTTTTTTTTTATTTCTTTTATAGGGCGTTATAAATAAACTTAACTTCTATGTAAATATACCAAGGCAAGGGGACATTCAAAACTCATAAGTGGAAAAGAATATGACAATGTCATGGCAAAAAAAGAAAGACGACAAAATGACAATCAATTTAAAAACCAAACAACAAAGAACAAAAGTATAACAAAAGAAAAGAGACTGAGCAATAAGTACCCCACCAAAAACTTGGTGATCTCAGGTGCTCCGGAAGGGTAAGCCTGCTCCAATAGTGGCACTTGTAAAATTAACATATCGTTGGATTGAGACTTTCACAAAAGAAATCGGATTTAGCCCAGTATTTTAAAAGCCATGTGTGAGGGTATTGAAGGAATTTATAGAATAGAGAATGGTGGATAGAAAAAAACAGAGAATAAAAGGGCAAAAAATAAAAAAAAGACAAAATAGACAAAAAATAAAGAATAATGAATAATGAGTGCTAAAATATAAAGAATAGAGAATATTAAGTAGCTATAATATAAAGAATAGAAAATAATGGGGTGCTAAACTATAAAGAACAGAAAAAAATGGGATGCTAAATTATAAAGAATAGAAAAAAATGGTGTGCCTTATTATAAATGTTTTTAAAAAAATAGAGAAAAATTGGCATCAAAATAGCTTTTATAAATTTTGACTTGGATGGAGAGTTGTCTCATTGGCACTCATACCACATCTTATATCTATTTAAAGAATATAGACATTAAGAACTCATACCCTTCTCATTATGTATAATATTGACGTTAAAAGATATTACAGAATTGAAACGTTCAAATCACAACATAAATGGAGTACGTATAAATAATACCAAGATCATACCATATTCATATCACATTTCTCGTCCTGAATATGCATTTAATTTGCCACTGGACGTTAAACAGTCATCCATCCATTAATCCTAATACCGCCGCGAAAAGTGTTGTCATTACATAGACTTTGTTCAAATACAAAAAATTAAAACCTTCAAATGACAAATTTGAAGACAAATACAAGTCTTACCTTTGCCGTAACCCACTGCAATTATTTTGCATGGTATGGTATGTATCAAACGAATTCTTTTTATGTCAACAAGTTTTAATTTACGCACACTCGTAAATCTTCATGGGTTCAGATATCAATACCCTATCATGATCTATTTAAGCGTAAAATGTACCCATTGGAGGTTAAATTATATGAACAGATAGATTTTAATTAAATCTATACCACAGACAATGTTATCATTTGAAATTAAAATACAAACATGTCTATTCAATATATGTCAATTAGAATTATTCATGCATTTTATGTTAATATTTTACAACAACTTTTATGAACAAAATAAACTCCAGCCAAATATGCAAACCTTATATCTTTATATATCATTTTTTTTAATTGACGATCCCGTAAGTTTCAAATCTGTTTCAGTTGAACTAATTCAAGGACAGAGGGTTAGGTTGACCTAATGTTAACGTTTTGTCCGTTCGTCCGTCCGTCCCACTTTTGTATCGGCAGATACTCCTGAACCACACGACACAGGTTTGTCAATCTTACATAGAATCTTTTTCATATATGTATTTTTGCAGCTCCTATTTCATCACAATGATTCTTGATGTTAAGTTTTGCTTGGCATGGACATCATCACAGCTACATAGTACACATCTGCCTCTCTTAAATCCCTAATTAGAATTTAATGAAACTTTCTCAGACTCTGCAGAAAAATAATGTCAATGTGCACCTCTTATTTTGTTTATGATCTGATGTAATTTTAGGTTTTCTCTATCAAATAGTGAACTTTGACATGGCTTTATCTGGGAGCTACCCATTTTGCATCCATTTTAGAATTTATTTTAACTTTTTCAGAATCCTAACCGTATAACGATTGTAGTTTTTGTCCTAATTGTTTTTTTGTTTTGTTTTAGTTTCTTTCAGCAAATCATTCACTTTGCAATTGCTTAATTGGAGGAGTAACCTTTTGTAACCGTGCTCGCAGAACTTTTAGCTTTAACTGAAATGAATAAATGATTTTAAATTCTAAACATATGATATTTATTCCACAGAAGAATAAATACAAGAGCTAGCAACAACAGCCTTCATTGTATTTTTGTACTCTTGTGAAGCAAGTTTGATCGACAGTCCTTACGCATTTAAGAGGTAGGTATAAATAAGAAGATGTGGTATGAGTGCCAATGAGACAACTATCCATCCAAGTCACAATGTGTAAAAGGTAAACAATTATAGGTCAAAGTACGGCCTTCAACACGGAGCCTTGGCTCACACCGAACAGCAAGCTATAAAGGGCCCCAAAAAGACAAGTGTAAAACAATTCAAACAGGAAAACCAACGGTCTAATCTATATAAAAAACGAGAAACGAGAAACACTTATGAACCACACCAACATTTTCCCAGACTTTATTTCACACCAGGGCCATTTAAAAAAAGGTCTGCCGATCTTTACTAAAATTCACAGAATGACAGATGCATGTTTGTACATTTAAGACCTAAAACATTGTGGTGTATTCCTGAACATGGAACCAAATGTTTAGTGCCTGAAGATGACTTAAAAACAACAATTTTGGTAGATTTCGGCACATTTTAAGTAATTATAACATAAACGAATAAGAGTGACATTCTTGACCAAAAGCAATATCATATTTGAAGTAAAGCTATGTTTTGTCCTTCAGATACCAACCAACTCTTGTTGTTTAAGGACCATCCTTTAATGCAAACTTTACAAAAACATGTAAAATATGCGATTTTGTGTAATAACTGTCTTCAACATCAATTTTTATCGCTGAATAGCGTTTTAATTTTATGGATATGCATGAAAACATTGTAAAATATTAATGTTACATTGTTTAGACTAATTAATGGTTTTAACAACTTCAATTTAAAACCTACGAGTGAAAGAAATTCAGGGAAAATTTACCCTACTTGTTTCAACACATAAAGTTTGCTTATTTTTCCTTATTTCAAATTATTAACGTTTTCATGGTGATATTTTTTAGGGGGGAATGCGACAAATTGATGGAAAACCAACAAAAAGAAAATGAAAATAAAAAATAGCAAAATAAGTAAAGAAAAGATATCAGAAAAAATAACAGAAATAGAAAATATTGGCACTAAAGTCGTATGTTAGGACTAGGGAAAAGTAGAAAAATTCATATTAAATAGTTCAGGTAGAATAGTTGCGGTAAAAAATGCTTTTGATACGTGCATTACAATATTAAAGATTCTAAATTATTTACCTTTTTAAATACTTTCTTGTGTGCTCTTCCCGACATGGTTTCGTACCATGCTTTAAATGTATTACAATCGCCTCGAGATAAAATTTGCTATTAGCGGGTTCTTAACAGAAGTGAGCACCAAAATATCAATCGTTTTAATACAACCTCCATAAAATCCATTATATTATTACGTGTATTACGACAAATTATTTTTGTTATTAGTCAGCCATGGCATAACCTATTTGTTAGGGAAATGTTAAAGCTACATGTTATAGAATTTGCATAAGAAAATGAGGATTTAAATTTCAAAATTGATGACTTAGTAGTTGAATTGCATCTATTGAAAAGAAATCAGTAGCTGTGTCAGTTTAGAAACTAAAGGTTATATATATTGTGAGGTCATGTACTGGAGTAAGTTTAAAATATACATTAAACAAGTTACAAACTGTGTCAGATTTGACTTTCAATTTGAATACAAAGGAAAATATAGCTCTGTATAATTTTAAAAATAACTAATGATGGATCTTACATATAAATAAACAAAATAAATAAATTAATATATAAAAAATTAAAAAAACATTGTCTCAGATTTTCTATTCCTATATTCCGATAGAATTCAAAGAAAATATAAAATATAAAAAATTATTCGATTATAATAGAATAAAAAGTTAACACTGGAAAAATATCCTCATTTGGTTACTTATTTAAAGGTCCCTCCCCCTCCCTCGTTGTATCGGACCGACATCCAGGGACGGATATTAAAGTGTAGAGGACATGGCGATCTGTCGTATCGAGCCGTGTTCATACGGGTTTTTGTTTTGTAATTTTGTTGTTGATGTTAAATGTTTCTAAAATTAGAAATAAAGGTTTAAAATAACAATCTTGGGGTTAGATGTAGACACTGATACAAATGATCAGATCAGTAAATTACTATAAATAGTCTGACTCAAAACAATAAAAACAATAAATGATATTGTGTTGTCGAGGTGAATGCAAGTTCAAAAACAAATTATTGTGGCGAAAATGAATTTGTATGATACATTGAATATTTTCCAAAGGAATAAAGTAATAAAAACAGACGTGCACAGTCCGCATAATTATAAAATAAGATGAAACGCGCGTCTGGTGTACACAATTTCAATCCTGGTATTTATGATGAGCTTATATATAAGGAGATGTGGTATGATTGCCAATAAGACAAACATCCAACAGAGTACAAATGAAGCGGATTGAAGCAACTATAGGTCACTGTGCGGCTTTCAACAATGAGCAAAACCAATACTGTATAGTCAGCTATAAAAGGACCCGTCATGAAAAAATGTGAAACAATCCAAACAAAAAGACAACCTGATTTATGACAAATCACTATAGAAGAAAAATATGAGAGACAACTACCAACAACAACCACTGAATTACAGGTTCCTGGCTTGGGACAGGCGCACATAGAATGTGGCGCGGAGTTTAATATGTTTGTAAGCACCCAACCCTCTTCTTACTTGTTAAAACTTTTCCAAACTAGACATCCAACATATTCGATTTGATTTTTTCTCTTAGTTTTACAACATTTTATACAAATATTTTTCTTAGATTTGCCAACGAAATTTTCTTGTAAATTCCTATCATAAAACAAAAGATATAGGTAATTCCAAACTATCGGATGGACGCGATGCGACTGGAAATGCTTATCTGTATTTGGCAAAATCTTTCGGAATTTTGAGTCCTCAATGCTCTTCAATTCCGTACTTTTTTTTGGCCTTTTTAACTTTTTTGATTCGAGCATCACTTTTGAGTCTTTTGTAGACGCTCGGTCTGGCGTACAAAAATTTAAGCACGTTATCTATGATAAGTTTATTTAATACTTATTTTTACGCTCTTACCTCTGTTACTTAGTGTATATGTCCAAACACGAAATGCACAAATGCAATGTTTCAACGGTAGTGTTCAAGTTGTATAAAATTTAACACAAGTATGTGAACATTTAAGGCTTATCTTAAAAAGCAAATCCGAGACAATGAAATTCATCATTTATAATTCATTCTCAAATTGTTCATATTCATTCGTGTGATTTCAACGCTCTGTTGATGAATTTTGAAATGTTTTTGTTTAAATCTATTGAGTACTTTTCATTGATCAACAATCAGCACTATTTCCTGCTGGTACTGAAATGACTATTCTACGATATTTTATAAGGAAATGCTATCCATCAATAACTTTCCAATATTTACGTTAAAGGGGAGGATCTGGATGAGGTTTACAGAATAGAGAATTGTGAACAAAAAATAAAGAAAAATGGGCAAAACAATATAGAATACAGCAAAATGGACATAAAAATAAAGAAGAGAGAATAATAGGGTGATTAAATATAAAGAATACAAAAAAAATTGGCAAATATTAAAGTAATGAAGACGCATTCATCCAAACCCTCACCAAGGTAGAAAATTTACCCGGTTTACAAGGCGGAGCACTTCACTTTTCTCTTTATATATCAAAGACCAGGACGTGTCCTGCTGGTATAGAAATGACGATAATACAGAATGTTATAAGGGAAATGACAAACATCAATAACTTTCCAATAATTCCATAATTAAAGTTATATTTTATTCTGTTGGTCCATTGATTATTTACAACTAATGACCAATTTGTAATAATATAACAACTTGTAATGATTAGACAAAACCATTTAAATCTTGATTTCTCATTAATCATTAGTTTTATATCGTCTTGAAATGTAACGTTTTTAGTTCATCTACACGTTGTATTATACTATAATTAACATTCTTGTTATATTTGCTTCTTCTCTGTGTGCTTTATATACAAAAGGTGGGAGACGAAACCAAAGGGACAATGGAAAGCAATAATCGAAGAAAAATCTGCAACAGCATTTTAAGGTGGTACCCAACACCTTGACTAATATTAATTTGGCTCGTTTAATTTTCATAAAATTTTGACAAAATGTTTACTTTGACCCTTTGACAAAAATATCAAAATTTCAAAAAATTTGAACCAACCACTTTATCAGAAAAAATTCATTGGTTATATAGCAGTTTGACAAACACTAAATTTGATCATTGAGAAGCTTAATATTTCCTTAACAATGCAACGTGATTAAAACGTTTAGTTGATTTTTACAGAGTTATCTCCCTGTAGTGTTAGGTACCACCTTTAAAATATAAATAATGGAAAGACACATCAAAAACATCGCACAAATAAATCAAAGACTGCGTAACACGAATTCAATATAAAATTAAGGAAATGTGGTATGATCACCAATGAGACTATCCATCACAGTTCAAATAACGTCAGGTAAACATTATAGGTTACCATGGTCACCATTCAGCCTTCAACAATGAACAAAACTCATACCGCATAGATTTTTGTACCTGTACCATTCAATACAAAATAAGAAGATGTGAAATGATTGCCAATGACAACTAGCCACCAGAGACCAAATTACGTTGATGTAACTATATATATATATATATGACCGTACGGCTTGAAACAATAAGCAAAACTAATACAGCATAGCAAGCTATAACGGCTCAGAGGCCTTTCGCGACTTACAAGAAAAGGGTGAATAGGAGAAGTCATTCATTGATAAAAAGTTTAAGTTTTTGCTACTTTGGTGTTTAACATCATTCTAATAATATAAAGTTTATAACTAACCTGCCATATCTTAAACTAAGAACTAAACCCAACAGCTGTATGAGGTATAAGTTAAGGACAACAGTACGCCACTTAAATACTGACATACTATTACTTCCGAGTGAATTGATTCAAAACATTAATATTAAAAACTAAATTACTCATGCTTCGTTTAAAAACTAAATGACATTTTAAATTAAACCAAAGAATTAAAAACAATGCTCATTTGAAAAAGACTGAAGGCCGTGAGTGATTTTATCTATTTAGCAAGGAATCAAAACATTCTCAAAGGCAAATATATAACAGAACGCGGCCGATGTCACGTAGAACATGCATGTTTACGTAAGCAGTTGTATTCTGAAATATAATTTTTAATGAAACGTTTCCTATACCTTCATATTGTTTAAATATAAAAACAAAACGAAGTTGATACGATATTGTCAGTATATAGTATTGTTGTTTATGATATTTATGTGTTTATTTTGTATCGACGATATGGAGGGTTGAAGAAGAAGAATTTATTTCAAACTATTTAAGGGCCGCGAAAGAGCATATACATCTAACATTACAATAACAACAATTAGTCAAGATTAAAATAATTCAATAATTTGGTCGAAATGCCTGCTTCCAAAATGTCGTATGTGAACTTGAACATTTTTGTAAATGGCAGTGAAATAAAAACTTTGACCTTTCTGGATTACCCAAAAACTTAATTTATTTTCACAGAAATAAAGAAATGTACAAGTATTTGATTCCCAAAGCCATTATACAACAATTTTCAAGTTTACATACAGCATTTTGGAAGCAAACTTTACAAACAACTGAGATTGGCAATTTTGAAACATGTCTTATTTCAAATGTTTTGATTGGTCTAACTGTATGCTATTTTGGAATATCAAAGATTTCCTTCCGCCAAGACGATTTGTGTCAAAAAGTGCTTTAGCCAAAAAAGTCGTATACGACATTTTGGAAGCCCAGCAACGACTTGCAGTTCACACCCAATCGGCACACCTCGGAAGATCTAACAACCTAAATTAAGATGCAGAATAGCGGAATCTACCGAGGTTTGCCGATTGAGCTCACAACGTGTCTATTGATGATTTGTTATACTTTGTTAAATATCTTCTCTGTTCGAATTCACTTTATTCGAGCTATGCTGTTTTTCATATTATTTTCAAAGCCCAATTCACTACTAGTATTTTAACGGCCATAAACATTTATATGTTATTGATTCGAAGTACATATTGGTTAAAATAATAAGGGACATAGCTAACCATACAATTTTACTGTGCGTATTGCTGTGAATTCGTTTATTCTATATTGGCTAGAGGTATAAGAAGAGGGTTGATATCTCACAAAACATATTTAACCCCGCTGCATTTTTGCGCCTGTCCCAAGTCAGGAATTTCCAGCCTTTGTTAGTCTTGTGTGATATTTTAATTTTGGTTCATTTGTATGTTTCGGAGTTAAGTGTGGCGTCCATTTCGCTGAACTAGTATACATTATTGTTTAGGGGCCAGCTGAAGCCTACCTCCGGGGCGGATTTGTTTTTCATAAGATATTAGTTTTATTGACAAGAAGCATATTTGGAATGTCTAACTCAAGAACTCGGAATTTACAGCAGAACTAGTGGGAATACCGCATATATCCCTACGTCATTAATGAAAGAGAAGATATGTTTTGTTTAGAAAAATTGGTATTAACTTTAAAAAAGACGATAAACATTTTCCCCGTCATTATACTGGATACCTCAACTTAATTAAAATCCATATCTATAGTGATATATTGTCGGCTCGTCAGGATGTTCGACAAAACATCTTACCAAAGTTCGTATCACTATTCTTTCTACAATGAAAGATAGCCTTCAGAAATATTTTTGATATATTCTACCAGCGGTGTCAATTAGATGTGTATTCTTAAACATTCAAAAATTCTGCTTCAAAATCTTCAAACCAATTTACAATGTTGCAGTAATAAAAACGTTTCATTTTTATTTTTCTATGTTTTACACTATTATTTCTAATTCTCAACTGAATAATCGAATACATCGTCTCAATAAACAGTGCTTTTTGTACAAAAATGTGAATCGAAGATACAAATTTCTCGTTTTAGGTCATGAAAAATCTTACTTTTATTTTTTACCGACGATGATTTGATTAAAATGCTGACTTTTTTTTGGGGACATCATATTTGTTGAATTTGATGGATTCACATTTCAACAGACACTTAATATTCTAAAAGGTACTAGCTTACACCCCTACTGGACGACTTTTATTCTAAAAGGTACTAGCTTACACCCCTACTGGACGACTTTTATTCTAAAAGGTACTATTTTACACCCCTACTGGACGACTTTTATCCTAAAAGGTACTAGCTTACACTCCTACTGGACGACTTTTATTCTAAAAGGTACTAGCTTACACCCCTACTGGACGACTTTTATTCTAAAAGGTACTGGACGACTTTTATTCTAAAAGGTACTAGCTTACACCCCTACTGGACGACTTTTATTCTAAAAGGTACTATTTTACACCCCTACTGGACGACTTTTATTCTAAAAGGTACTATTTTACACCCCTACTGGACGACTTTTATTCTAAAAGGTACTAGCTTACACCCCTACTGGACGACTTTTATTCTAAAAGGTACTAGCTTACACCCCTACTGGACGACTTTTATTCTAAAAGGTACTAGCTTACACCCCTACTGGACGACTTTTATTCTAAAAGGTACTGGACGACTTTTATTCTAAAAGGTACTGGACGACTTTTATTCTAAAAGGTACTAGCTTACACCCCTACTGGACGACTTTTATTCTAAAAGGTACTATTTTACACCCCTACTGGACGACTTTTATTCTAAAAGGTACTATTTTACACCCCTACTGGACGACTTTTATTCTAAAAGGTACTAGCTTACACCCCTACTGGACGACTTTTATTCTAAAAGGTACTAGCTTACACCCCTACTGGACGACTTTTATTCTAAAAGGTACTAGCTTACACCCCTTCTGGACGACTTTTATTCTAAAAGGTACTGGACGACTTTTATTCTAAAAGGTACTGGACGACTTTTATTCTAAAAGGTACTAGCTTACACCCCTACTGGACGACTTTTATTCTAAAAGGTACTATTTTACACCCCTACTGGACGACTTTTATTCTAAAAGGTACTAGCTTACACCCCTACTGGACGACTTTTATTCTAAAAGGTACTAGCTTACACCCCTACTGGACGACTTTTATTCTAAAAGGTACTAGCTTACATCCCTACTGGACGACTTTTATTCTAAAAGGTAGTAGCTTACACCCCTACTGGACGACTTTTATTCTAAAGGGTACTAGCTTACACCCCTACTGGACGACTTTTATTCTAAAAGGTACTAGCTTACACCCCTACTGGACGACTTTTATTCTAAAAGGTACTAGCTTACACCCCTACTGGACGACTTTTATTCTAAAAGGTACTAGCTTACACCCCTACTGGACGACTTTATTCTAAAGGGTACTAGCTTACACCCCTACTGGACGACTTTTATTCTAAAAGGTACTAGCTTACACCCCTACTGGACGACTTTTATTCTAAAAGGTACTAGCTTACACCCCTTCTGGACGACTTTTATTCTAAAAGGTACTAGCTTACACCCCTACTGGACGACTTTTATTCTAAAGGGTACTAGCTTACATCCCTACTGGACGACTTTTATTCTAAAAGGTACTAGCTTACACCCCTACTGGACGACTTTTATTCTAAAAGGTACTAGCTGGACGACTTTTATTCTAAAAGGTACAAGCTTACACCCCTACTGGACGACTTTTATTCTAAAGGGTACTAGCTTACACCCCTACTGGACGACTTTTATTCTGAAGGTACTATTTTACACCCCCACTGGACGACTTTTATTCTAAAAGGTACTAGCTTACACCCCTACTGGACGACTTTTATTCTCAACTGAATAATCGAATACATCGTCTCAATAAACAGTGCTTTTTGTACAAAAATGTGAATCGAAGATACAAATTTCTCGTTTTAGGTCATGAAAAATCTTACTTTTATTTTTTACCGACGATGATTTGATTAAAATGCTGACTTTTTTTTGGGGACATCATATTTGTTGAATTTGATGGATTCACATTTCAACAGACACTTAATATTCTAAAAGGTACTATTTTACACCCCTACTGGACGACTTTTATTCTAAAAGGTACAAGCTTACACCCCTACTGGACGACTTTTATTCTAAAAGGTACTAGCTTACACCCCTACTGGACGACTTTTATTCTAAAGGGTACTAGCTTACACCCCTACTGGACGACTTTTATTCTAAAAGGTACTAGCTTACACCCCTACTGGACGACTTTTATTCTAAAAGGTACTAGCTTACACCCCTACTGGACGACTTTATTCTAAAGGGTACTAGCTTACACCCCTACTGGACGACTTTTATTCTAAAAGGTACTAGCTTACACCCCTACTGGACGACTTTTATTCTAAAAGGTACTAGCTTACACCCCTTCTGGACGACTTTTATTCTAAAAGGTACTAGCTTACACCCCTACTGGACGACTTGATATTCTAAAAGGTACTAGCTTACACCCCTACTGGACGACTTTTTGTTTTACTCATATGAAGCAGAATTCATTTAAAATAACCTTAGAAACGTAGATACGAATATAACATGATCACAAATGCATCAGAGTTCAGTTACGCTTCACAATCAACATCCCCGAATATAACAAAATTACTCGAATGTAACCCGTGAGTTTTATGTCGACACTTACAGATTGCACGTTTTATACCGCTTTACAAAAACAGGGAGCTAGGCAATGTCCATCTATCCACGAGGGGGGGGGGGGGGGGGGATTCTGGTGCTCCAGAAGGGTTCACAGTTTCTGATTAACTGTTTCAGTTGGAGACTTTATTTTTACGAAATGATGAAGTGGATTCACATATGTTAATTAACGTAGTTTGTATAATGATAACACGTACGGTTGGAGAATTCTCTGATTCTCATTTCCAGAACGTTATGTTATAAATAACAAGAGGCTGTCAGAGTGACAGCAAACCGGATTTTCCTGTATGAAAATGATATTTGCAAATCTTGACCCAGAAACAGGATCAAGTAAAAAAAAAATAAAAGAATTTTTGTAGCGTTCAGAAATGGAAAGGCAA